GCATGCCTGGGTCTCCCAAGGGAGCTGAGGCCCTAGTTCTGAGGCCCTGAAGCTTGCCAAAGAATAATTGGACACAGCATGAGGATTTAGGGGAAAAATGTATGGAGAAGGCAGGCACAGAATGAGTCCCTGCTCGATGTGCCACTCAGCAGTCTGCCGGTCAGTCAGAAGTCCTTTGACGGGTCATGGGGCTAATTGTATGTTCTGTAATTGTGTGGTTCCAGCTGTTAGAGTGCATAGCAGAAACAGATTTATTTCAGGAATATATTTGTAACAAGCTACCACTGCAAACACAGACGTTGTTACTGAGTTTTGAATTTAGGAATTTCAGTAGCAAAAGCCACAAGCCCCTATTAGTTGTGCTAAAGATTCCACGTTTTACTGTTGTGTCTTTGTCCATGAAGCCTATGTAGTGGACTCTGCCTTTCAGATATCTGGTAGCAGCTCACCCCAAGAAATGCAGTTGGTGGGATCCAGGGGGTGATACAGGCAGAGTGAGCTTTGAGTAAGGTGCAATAAAGGTCTGTTTGTTTGAACCTCTGAACAGCTGCATTATACTGAAAACTCATTGAAATCTTAAACTCTTAACAATATTTAGAGATATTGTTAGATTCAGTTCATTTTAGTTAGAATGTAACACATTAATGTGATGTCTAATTTTCAATACTTCCAAGATGAATTGAATGGATTGTTTGTCTGATTTCAAGCAACCCTGTGCTTGCTTTCCCTGACACCCTCCCCCCCCGTCTATTTTTATTTATTTATTTTTTGGAAGGAAGTATTCCTGCTATACTCACATTTCTTTAATTATCTAGGATAATGCAGTAAAACAAAATACAAGTGTCCCAAGGTAAGCTACCACTGACTCATGTTGTTATAAAAAATATATGTGAAACAGCATGAGCTTCATATAAGTATATCAGAGTATTTTAAATATGATTTTGATGCATACTCTTATTAAATGAATGGATTAGAAACATACGATTTATTTTACTGAGGAAGAGCAGTGATCAGTCTAGTCTAATATTCTCCGTATGACAGTGGCCTATTCCAGTTGCTTCAGAGGAGGGTTCAAGAAACCCTGTAGTAGGGAGTTATGGAATAAACTAGCCACAAGGAGCTCCAGTAGCTAGAGGTTGGCTTAGCTCCAGAGCATGAGAATTTATATCACTTCCAAACCTTTTTTAAAAATCCTTAATCCTTTTAATTCTAAATATTCTTGATAGTCATATAAAATATCCTTTCTGAATCCTGCAAAGTTCTTGGCCTTGGTGATACCTTGTGGCAATGAGTTCCACAGATTAATTATGTGTGGTATGAAAAAAATATTTCTGTTCATCAGTTCTAAAATTGTCACTTTTCAATTTCACTGAATATTCCCTTTTTCTTTTACTACCTTAAATTAACATACTGCAAATGGTGTTTTTTTCCCCTTTTCCCATGTCATATTCAGGTAATACTGGCCAAGATAAAGGCAATTCCAGGAGTAAAGTTCTATGTGTATCCAAAGACAAGGTAGGGAATAAACAGATACTTTATAAGCTTCCCCATAGAGTCTGCAAATGACTTGCACCACGACCTGCAGGGATCTTGTGCAGGGGTACAAGGTTATAGAAGCTAAACTTTTTCATTGGGGTAGATCGGCTAGATCAATTTGGCAGCTGCCTTGTCTGTTTAGGAACTTGTTTTTCATTATTTGGGAAACAAGTTTCTCTTCATCCTTCCTTGGTCACATTGGAAGTAGAAGTGACCCTGAACGGGAGACGTTCTGGCTCTTGCTCTTGAGGTTGTCTATATGGAAATACGGCATTGATTTTTTTCCTCTTAGGATCGGATTGGAGTGTTGTGCTTCCTCCCTTTCTGCTATCAGTAGATGAAGGTTTAAGATATGTGCTTGCCCACATTTTTAGTACTATTTTGCATCCATGCCATACCGCCAGGTACTTTTTAAAAAGATCCAGTTGAGCTATTTTAATTACTTAATATCTACCCTGGAGCAGGTAAATGTAGTAAATTTGCCTCTTAGGAATCTGAGTTGGGATTTTTAAAATAATATATATTTTATTATATAAAATAATGCACAATATATCATGACATTCTGTGCTTACATATTATCGGTATAAATACTTTTGCCATGCACAAATATTTTTATTATTCTTGTTCCATCCAGCATGTGTGTAGGGACATGTACACTTCCTTAGGTTTCTCTTTACACTACATCCTGTACATTTAAAAAAAAACCCTTAACTCTTGGTATGAATTTATTTGCCTCTTCAAATTCCACAGAAGAAGTCATTATAGTTTCACTTTGTATGCTGAGCCCAAGCAGATAGAGAAGGTTGGGCTGACTGGAGGCAGTGACCGCTTTTGCAAGACAAGTTGGCACTTGCAAAACAGATGCCCAAGACTGAAATGAAACTTTCCACTCAGAGCACAAGTGTGTCATTTTTCCTTTCTCCATTTTTTCACCCTTGGCCTCTGAAATGTATTGTACAGAATCCATTGCTGGCTTAGCTGTTGGCAGTGGAGCAGCTGTGGAAACGTAATGCAGCTGTTCTTTTGGAAGCCATTTTCCTGTGAACTAAGGGTGAATGTGAAGAATTTGTACCTTGTTGCATTAATGTTTTGAAAATAAAAAAGATGAAAGCCGTGTGTGTGAAACAGGTCAGTTTTTCTATTTCCCCCCATGCCGGCCAGACTTGAAATGTAAAATGCATGTTACATTTCTGGCAAGATCCGGTTCAGCCCAAAACTTGTATTTTTCTGTCCTGTGTGGATCTTTCTGCCTCTAGTAAAATATTCTCTGATCAAATATCTGAACAAGCAAAAAAATCTCCATTTGTTTCTTATATCTGGCTCCCTACATACCACCAGCACTCTCCTGAAACTGTTCCTGTCTAAATGCTTGGAAGAAAAATCATATTCATTTAATTAATGGTGCCAGGAGACTGTGGCAAAGACAGGAAAAAGCTAGTAACAGCAACACTGCCAGGATAGCAGCACCAGGCTGTTTGTGATATTGAAACCAATGTGAAATTATCTGGTTAGGTAGCAGAAGACAAACAAAGAAAAGCAACAACAAACATTTTCGATGGGCATACTTACCTGTCATGCTGGGGAAAAGTTTTATATTGATCAATCATATGTGAATTGATTCACCACTGTTATTTTTAAGTATAAGTTAGTGAGTAGTTTTTTAATCATTTCTCAATAAACATGTACATTTTAAACTATGTAAAAATAAGAGACAGTGGTGAGAAATGGACTGATTTATTTTCAGAACTTTGATGTGGCTTGTTTGTGTTGGAAGATTAATCCCTTCTTCGTGGTGGTCTTTGCATTTAGGCTTGCTGGAAAGTAGGATCTACACACTACCAGAGGCAAAAGTACCTCTCCTATCCTTCCCAGGAGTTTGAGGTTGTTTCTCTTTAAGAGTAGTTAGTTGATTCATGTCCTGTACTATCTGTGTTGTGTAGATGACCCCTGCTGCCTCCTTGTTTCCTTTAAAGGAGAAGACAGGCGTTCTCAAGAATGGTTTTGAATTGGAAACAACTTTATGGACTTGCTTTTTTGTTATGCAAATTAACTACTTTAATTACTTCTCTACTATGTTTATGAACTGTCTTTTCCTTGTATGAACCACTTTAATTATCTGTGTTAGTTCTAGTACTTGCAAAAGATTTACAATGAATGATCTCTACTGATACCTCCAGTTCATAGTTTTCATTTTCTATGCGGTAGCACTCCATCAGGGAATATACAGGAAGTGGCGATCATGCTGTGGACTTGTCTTAGGCAATGTATACGTGCCTTTCTTATGCTTGCAATTAGATATGGTGGGCAAGAGATGGTACAGCATGTATTAGAGATGACACAGCTTGTTCTCTTTAGTATAATATTCTGTTTTCTCAGTTTCTCAGATTATATTCATCTGTTACACATAACTGACTAACAATGAGAAAAAAGCAAATGATTAACAGCATGTAAGTGAAATGCAGACTCAAAAGAAGAGACAAAATTATTCAACGTGTTATACATTTCAGTTTGTTTTATTGACCTTTTCTGTTTCGAGCAACATAAACCCACCTCTCCATCCAAAGTGTTAAATCCAGATTGTTAAAATCTTTTGTAGATTGTGCAGAAAAATGTTTCAACTTCACAAGTCAAGCAGAGACTCAGGTTCTGAATAAAATTTTCCATCAAAAGAATAAACATTTTTCCTCACTTTTGATTTTTCTTCCTCTTTAACTTTTTGCAAGTTCTCACTGCCAGCTTTTCTGCTGACTGTGGACCAAAACAAATTAAAGCATTTTGTTTTCAAAACTACCTTAAGGAAAAAATGGTCATATGTCACCTTTTATTTTGGTTTCTGATTTCTCTGCATCCTATGAGATTTAGTATTGAATAAAATTACTGTTCTATTTAGTACAATTGATAGTTTGGGTACTGAGATTTTATTTTATATTTTATCCAAACTTGATAGGCTCTTATGAAAAGGTATCTGGAAAATGAGTATTAATAAAGTAACAAACTGATATAGTATATGTTTTATTGTTCTAATGAAGCCCTAGCCCACTGTCCCTAGAACTATCAGTTGAATATGCATCAAAAATAAATAAAAGTAAGAATTGTTTACTATTTTTAGCCTTTGTTCTAAAAGAGGGGCACAAGAGTGATCTAGCGTAAACAATGAATTATTTCTTATTTTCAAACATCGTGATCAGGGTTGAGGTTGAGAGCATTAGATCTTGAGGGTAGTGATGAACGCCAAACTTGGAACATGAATAAATAAAGGACTTAATGTTTTGTGCCTGTGAGTACTTTAACCTTTATAGGCACAATATTCTTGAGAAATCTGAAGGTCTTAATCACTACATCTTTTAAAATACTCTTTAACTGATGTCTTAAAATAGATTTCAAAACACAAATCATATAAAATTAACAGACACTTAGAAAAGCATGTGCTGTTCTAACCCCTTTTTATTGCTTTTGTTTTCTAGGTCTTCAGGGATTTTACACTGTGTAGCTGGCAAAACAAGTCCCCATTTAACTACTAAGCTTACTACCCAAATGGTAAGTAGTAGTATTGTGTTGGTATTGCTTAATTAGTATGAAGTTGATGACTTGGATGGAGGTAAGGGAATTCTAGTCTTTTACTTGGCCTTTTCAACATATTTTTATTAAAGTCGTTATGCAGTGTTAACCCAGTACTGTATATATGCACTTAGAAGTTTTGTAAACATACTAAACAAACTGACCAACTGCTTACCATTTGGGGCTTAATCCTCAAAGGTGTTGAGCACCTTCAGCTCCCATTGCTGTCTCAAGACTGGTCCCTTATATATTCAGAATTCAAATTTAAATGATTTAAAATTCAAATATGATTATTTTCTAGCTGCTTTCAGTATGTCTCAGTACTATTTTAGCACATATTATACATGACATTGATATTACCAAATATATGGCTTATGCTGAAGGGCAAACTTCAAAAGCCTTCACTTTCATATTTATGTATTTATATGCGTAAGAACCTTACTTCTGATACGTTTACTGTTTTTTCTCCTACCGTTCATACCTTATTCTCTGGCAAACCTGCTTGTGGTCCTTGCTGCTGCTTTAGTTTCTACATACTATGTAAGAAGAGTTTCAGAGTAACAGCCGTGTTAGTCTGTATTCGCAAAAAGAAAAGGAGTACTTGTGGCACCTTAGAGACTAACCAATTTATTTGAGCTGTAGCTCACGAAAGCTCATGCTCAAATAAATTGGTTAGTCGCTAAGGTGCCACAAGTACTCCTTTTCTTTTTATGTAAGAAGATGTCATCTAGTTTGTTTTAAATTCTGGCAGTCGCAATAATACAGGGTCAGATTCCCTTATTCACACTGACTAGTATCTTAGTCCACAAGGAGAGACCCATTAACTACAGTGAGACTATGTTGAAACGTAGTATTCATAGTGAGCTGGGATAGCAGAATGTATAGCCCATAGTGAGAGAGTAGTTGTCTCTTTCCTTTAAAAGTTACCATTCCAGACACAAAAATATTGATCAAGGAACTTCTTGAATAAAGAAAATTATATTGCTGACCTGATGCTCCAGATGTAATGCATGGGCTACCATGTATTCTTGTATCCGCTGATTTTTAGGTTATACGAGTAATGTCAGAAATAAGGCAAGCCTGTCTGAGATACTGAAAGTGAAAAACAGCAATATAAGAAATAGCAGGAAAAAATTTTTGCCTGCTTCATCCCAAATAAGAATATTTGTCTCTGAAATCTTTGCTATGAGGACAATCTTCCATTTTGCAAAAGGATTATTTGTAATTGGTCCTGCTTTGTATGGACATTGCTTACATTTATTTAAAACAGGTTTCAGAGTAAGAGCCGTGTTAGTCTGTCTTTGCAAAAAGATGACCTGATGATCACTTTAGATAAGCTATTACCAGCAGGACAGTGGGGTGGGACGGGGTATTGTTTCATGGTCTCTGTGTGTATATAATGTCTACAGCAGTTTCCACGGTATGCATCCGATGAAGTGAGCTGTAGCTCACGAAAGTTTATGCTCAAATAAATTGGTTAGTCTCTAAGGTGCCACAAGTACTCCTTTTCTTTTTGCAGATACAGACTAACATGGCCGCTACTCTGAAACCATTCAATTTGTAATCCACCATAACCCCTGACATCTTTTTCAGCAGTACTACCACTTAATCTCCAAGTTGTAGTTGTGCATTTGATTTTTTCTTCCTAAATTTAGTCTTTCACTTCTTTTTATTTAATATCATTTTGGTGATCTGAGATCAATTCTCCAATTTGTCAAAGTTGTTTTGAATTCTAATCTTGTCTTCCAAAGTGCTAGCCAGCCCTCCTGTCTTGGTGTCATCTGCAAATTTTGTAAGCATACTCTTCACTCCATTATCCGAGTTATTAGTGAAAATATTGAATACTGAGACTGGGACTGGCAAGGTGAGGAGAAAGGTACTGGAACTAAGAGCTGGGGTTGGGAAGAAAAGGGCTTGGACAGGTTCAGCAGATGGGGCAAAAGGGGTCAAGGATCAGAGGAATGGGCAGAAGAGTCTCTACCCACTAGAGAACACTCCCATTCAGAGTCTGGAGTGCAACTCAAGATTCCTGAGTCTTGCCATTCATCTGTTGTCTGCAAATATCTGTGAAATCCACTGGAAAAGTGTGCCTCTCTTCCAACTTTAGTGCTGGTCCACATAGAGGATGACAACCTACTATTGCTATCCGTTACTATATTAGCTCAAGTGAAGTTGGCTCTAAAAGTTCCAACCCTGCTGATGACCCATGTGGGTGTCAATATCCTCCACATAAAGGAATTTCCTTTTTTTTTTAGTTTGCTTTTTAAAAAAAAAAACCTAGGAAATTACACACAAAAAACTATGTTAAAGCAAGGTCAAAAGTTAGGAAATGCTAGCATTAACTCTACAGTTAATCTTTAATTAACCACATATCATTTTTCCAGTTGCAATGATGGCATCTGAAATATTCCCCTCAAAGCACAAGAGGCAGAATTCAGGTTCAGCAAGCAAAGGGAGATTTTTTATTTGTCATGCTAGACACACACTCATCCTGCAGTTCTCTAGCTTGGCTGAAAGAGGAAAACAGCTAGTGTTCCCCAGAGTTACCGCAAAGGATTTGTCCAAATCTTGGCTCAAATCATGGAGTGGTTTGCCAGCTACACCACTGTATCAGAAAAGAGCCAGGATAATATAGGTAGCTAGACCACAGAGATATTATATTTGCCTGTGGCATTGTTTGAGTCCCAGCAATTGCTCCTGTTTTCTGACAATGGCCCCCAAATATATTTACTTGACCCAGGAAACCATATTTTTTGCAAAGAGATTTTTCTGAAATTGTAATACTATGGTTTAGCCCATTTTATAGTATGGGTTAAAACTGCATAGCAAGAGATCCAGTTATACCACAATCCCCATGACAAGCAACACCTATAATCTCACAAACATTCAAACGGCAAAACCAAAAAATCCCAACCAAAGAAGTGAAAACCAGCCCAACAACAAAATTCCCCACAACACAACCGTCTTTCAGTCTTGAAAGCTTACTTCCCATTAAAGTTGTAACTGATTATTTTGAGATTATTCTACTATGGACAAGGAATCAGATTTGTTCTGAGAAGTGGAAACTATTGGTTGGAGCACATTTAAGTGCTGAGTGATACCAAATTTTATCCATTGGAATAAATATGGTACTACTGCAGATGACTGAACTTTGGTTAACCAAAACTCATTAATGTCTTTAGGAGCAAACTCTGCTCTCCCCTGTTCTCCCGGTTTACCTAGCACAGAGAGCAGTGGAGAGGCACTGGACAAATTACTAAAGGCTCTGGAGACGGTGCGTTCTGGGTGCCCTAAGTCTGGAATGCTGCTGAGCTGACTGATCTGATTTTACAAAGTGCGGTTCTTTCGGAAGTTTGCGATGTCCCTAAAGCCTTCAGAAAGTCAGGGTTGTTCTATGTAGCCTTTTCCTTCAAAATTCAAATAATGTAGTTCTGATAACTATTCATCCATGCCCCAAGCATGCCCCTATGGTGAGGGTACGGGCGCTGAATGAGATGGTGCAGAGCGGGGATCGCTAAGGCTTTGATCCTGCAAACTGATGCACACTTATGGGCCCTTCAGTGGAGCTGTGCCCAAGTCCAAAGGTCTGCCCCTGTTGTAGGATCAAGGCCTTGGTGAAGAAAAGAAGTGAAATTTGTTTGATAAATTATTCACTATGAATGATTCATTCACATCTGGTACCATCTATACTTGCAGTACTAAATGGAAAGGGGTCATTTTAGCATACTGGTAATTAAAAAACCCAAACAATGAATAAAAACCCCAAACCAACAACCTTGAAATATTGTTAAATGGCTGCAAATAATACATGTTTAAAATCTTTCCTGAGAGTAAAATTGTTACCTTTATTTTGAGTACTCTAGGGAGTTTTGTACTTACACATGAAGTCTCTGACTGCCCAGTTTTGCATTTGGAGCCTGTCACAAGGTGAACTGCCCCTTTCCAGGGGATGGGGCTCAGCTGCACACTGTGCCAAGCTCAGCTCATCTTTCCAGGTGAATGGAATAAGTCCCAGGGTCACATGGTGGAAGATTATGACCCAGAGCCAGGACTACTGGCATGTAAAGAGCAGCCCAAGTTCAGGGAGGAGGCTAGAGATGACAAGGCAATAGAGAGGGTCTCCTTACTTTCCAGGCAGACAACCTAGGAGTGCAACTTTGCAACAGGCAGGTTAGGATGGATGGAAGCTAGTCGGGGGGAGGAAAGCCTCAGAAGGTGGAAGTAGAGGACTCAGTGAGTGAGGCTTACAGGGAGTAAATAGGCTCATACAGGAGACTTCAGGGCAGAGGAAAAAGACATGGTTTATGTGTGAAACTTATGTGAAACTGTTTATTTGGGAGAAATAAAACTGGAGTCCTGAAGAAAAGGGACTGAAATCCTCTGTCTCCTTAGAGTTCTCTGGTGTACTGACTAGTGCATTGGGCCACTGGCTTACAAATCACTTAGTCAGTTGAAAAACATGTAAACTCCACAGGGCAGAGCTTTTCTTCTGATGTGTTTGTTCGGCAACTAGCACAATGCCAAGAAGCAGGAAGTATTCTCGTTGTTGCAGCAAGAGTGTGGGCCAAAATAATGTGTGGTCTATATATACTTGTTTCAAATATTAGAATAAAAATAGTGTATTAATAGAGCTAAAGCCATTTAAAATAAACATTTTTTCTATACTCAAGTCTTTTTAGGTCCCTCGCTAGCCAAACAAAAATAGGGAAGTCTGGTGGGATGTAAGAAGTAGTAATGAAAGATACAGTTTTGTATATATTAGAACATTTTAAAGTTTTTTAAAACAAAAAATATGTGAAGCCCACCTATTTATCTGGAATTCTGTGTCAGGATAATCCATCAATGTTTGGTACGTACTTCAGCAAAATCTGTGAAGGTTGTGGAACTGCTATGTAATTTTTGAACACTGAATGTGACTTAGTGAGGTAAAATTACTGTATAACCATGGTGGGGTATTAGAAATAGCTTACATTGGCGGT